CTCAGCCTCCCACATAGCTGGGACCACAGGCACCCGCCACAACGCCTGGCTATTTTTTTTTTTGGTTGCAGCCGTCATTGTTGATTTTGGCGGCCCGGGCTGAATTCAAACCCACCACCTTAGGTGTATGTGGCTGGTGCCTTAGCTACTTGAGCCACAGGCGCCCAGCTTGAACTTTGAAAACATTATGCTAACTAAAAGAAATTTCACACAGTAGGATGCTATTTATATGAAATGCCCAGAATGGGATATTGTATAGAGACAATAGATTATACTGATGATTGTTGCTGTATGACTCTGTGAAGATATTAAAAACCACTGAGCTACATTTTTTAAACAAGTGAATTTTACGAAATATGACCTATACCTTAACAGAAATGTTAAAAAAGGGAAAAATAAAACACTCAAGCTAATTCTTATTTTTTTAGTACTTTGAGTTGCTGGGTTGGATTGTTTTGGTTTTTAATACTTTGAGAAAGCTAATTCTTATATATGCTGAAGTTTGACACATAGTCTGAAATAGTTCCCACAGTTTGATACTTGGGTCTTTTTTTTTTTTTTTTAGAACAATAAATATCTTATTACATGAGCTAAGATAGGAGAGAGGAGGAATTATCTGTCTTTCTGGGCCTTGATTTTCCTCCGATAGAACTCCAGCTCCTTGCCTTCTAGCACAAAGCATCTGCTTGGCCACACTGGCCTGGTCTTGCTACAATGCACACAAGAAGCTCTGCTGAACTGCTCCTCCAGAAGATTGCTTATATTGGCATTCTTTTTCATAATATTTCTTCTAAATTTTTTCTTTATTGTTTTTTGTTTAAAGTCTCTTCTTCCTCAGGAGTCAGCCTGGCCCCTTCTTGTGACCCATGGGCAGTGCATATGGGACTCATACCACTATTAGTATGGTGTGCTGCCAATAAGCACAATGCAGTTCTTCACCAAGGTCTCAGTACGAACCAGCTCATCACTGGTTGTACTGCAGACAGCATCAATGATCCTTGTTTTCCTAGTACAACACTCTGAGGCCCCAGGAGAAGTTCCCCATGCCCAGCCTCAGGTCACGGTATTTGTTATTATCTCCCCACACATGGACTGTGTGCATTCAGCAAGGGCCAATCTTAGTTTTGGCAGTGGGGTGTTCCAACTCATACTTCCGCTTCTTGTGGTAGGGCTTTCTCTTGACCCTGGTCTTGTGGCACCTGTGCCAGTTGTCCCAAGAGATGCCAATCACTCTGTGCTGACTGGAAAGAGCCTATACTTGGATGTTTACTCATTTTCCAGGACCTCTCTATTCCTACATGTTGAGAACTTCCAAATGTATACCCTGATGTACTCCCTCTCTACTGAGCTCTAAAATCTCATTAGGTATTTTTACTTGGACTGCCTGCAGGCACCTTAATATTTGAAAATCCAAACCCTCCACACCCTATTAAAAACAACAGATGGCTCGGTGCCTGTAGCTCAAGCTGCTAAGGCGCCAGCCACATACACCAGAACTGGCAGGTTCGAATCTCAGCCCAGGCCAAACAACATTGACAACTACAACCAAAAAATAGCCGGGCATTGTGGCGGGTGCCTATAGTCCCAGTTACTTGGGAGGCTGAGGCAAGAGAATCGCTTAAGCCCATGAGTTGGAGGTTGCTGTGAGCTGTGATGCCACAGCACTCTACCCAAGGTGACAGCTTGGGGCTCTATCTCAAACAAAACAAAACAAAACAACAACAGAAAAAATACCTACATCCAATACTTGTTCTATTCCCCCATTACATGTTACTATATTCCCATTCTTCCCAGATTTATCTCCAAGTGCCCCCATCCCCTTCTTACTGAAGTTTCTCCTATAAGGCCCCTTCTCAGCAGATCCACTCTCATCGCCTGATGTCAAGCCTGCCTCAGTTTCCTCAAGGAGATTCCTAACTGGCATCCCTGTCTCCATTTTAAATTGCTTATAATCATTTCTGTACACTGCTGCCAGGCTGATCTTTCCAAAACACATAGCAGACCAAATTTTTGCCCTGCTTAAAAATCCGTCAATATCTCTCTATGGCCTGCATAGTATCCTGTATCTAACCTCGTTTCCAGGGTCTCACACATACACATCCTGATGCTCCACTCATCGCTTCTCCAGAGACATGTGTGACTCTGAACATACAAGGAGCACCTGTTCCCTTTTAGGCATTATATACCCAAGTATAGAGTGAGACCCTTCTCTCACAGGGTCTCACTCTATCACACAGGCTAGAATGCAGTGTCCTGATCATAGCTCACTGCAACCTTGAATACCTGGGCTCAAGTGAGCCTCCTGCTTCAGCCTCCTGAGTAGCTGAGATTACAGGCACCCACCACCATGCCTGGCTAATTTCTTACTTTTTATAAAGATGTAAGTCTTTTTCACTGTGTTGCCCAGGCTGGTCTTGAACTTCTGGGCTCAAGCAATCCTCCCACCTCAGCCTCCTAGAAAGCTTGAACTGCAGACATAAGCCACCACACTTGGCTGCAGTTGACTTGTTTTTTTTGAGACAGAGTCTCACTCTGCTGCCCTAGGAAGAGTGCCGTGGCATCATAAATAACAGCAACCTCCCAGTCTTGGGCTCAAGGATTCTCTTGCCTCAGCCTCCCCAGTAGCTGGGACTACAGGCACCAACCACCATACCTGGGTAGTTTTTTTCTGTTTGTAGTAGAGATGGGATCTTGCTCTTGCTCAGGCTGGTGTCAAACTCCTAAGCTGAAGCAATCCACCTGCCTCGGCCTCCCAGAGGGTTAGGATTACAGGTGTGAGCTACTATGCCCAGCCTTTCTCAGAATATTCTGCCATGTAACTTCTTGAGGATGGAGGATTGAACTCAGTATGGCTTCTAGAGTCAGACAGACATAGACTGTGACTCAAATTACGTTTTTAGCAACTATGTAAACAGATTGGAAAAATACTTGTCCTGCATGGCTTCTTTTCCAATCTGCTATTACAAAGAAATCTTGTAATAATTTACTAAAGTAGATTCAGTCCAAGGCAGAGACAATCTAAACTTATTAAAGCAAAGACTTTATTAAATAGTGTCCGAACATTTTTTCCCTGCATGCCCTACCAAAGCACAAACAAATCACCATGTTCCTGGAATACTCCTGTGTAACTATTATCTTGACTAAATGAGCATTAAATATTAAGAACAGATATTGAAATTCTTTGTCAACAAAACCAATTAAAACGGATAATGCAAACATTAATGTATATATTCTTTACATCTAAATCATCTCACTTGTCTCTAATGTTAAGCAAATTAACAAACACTTTTTTCTCAGTACGTAAAGATTAAATTTACCTGTTATCTTTGATGATAATAATAAAGAATATTATAGCTAAACTGTTGGCTTCCTGAGTCAGTATTTGTAGTATACATTTAAATAAGGGCACTTAAATCCATAGCTATAATTTTTAAACCTTACAGCTTATTTTTATTTTATTTTAAATACACAAAAAGGAGAATATGATCACAAACACCCAACTGCTCAGCTCTTATAATTTTTACCATATTTGCTTTAGACTTTACTTTAAAAATGAAGATTCTAAGCTTATTGATGTGGAATCTCAATAACTAGAAAGCTACCATTTAGGTAACTCATTTAGGATGTCAACCTAAATTACACTAAATTTAAACTGCAAAATGGCTGTAAAGTTGAAATTAAGCATTCTAATGCATCCTTATTAAGAAAGGTAAGGATAGGCTCAGAGCCTATAGCTTGGCATCTAGGGCGTCAGCCACATACACCAGAGCTGGCGGGTTCAAATCCAGACCAGGACTGCCAAACGACGACAACTACAACCAAAAAATAGCTGGGCGTTGTGGCAGGTGCCTATAGTCCCAGCTACTTGAGAGACTGAGGCAAGAGAATTGCTTAAGCCCAAGAATTTGAGGTTTCTGTGAGCTGTGACACCACAGCACTCTACTGAGGGCAACATAGTGAGACTCTTGTCTCATACATAAAGAAAGAAAATTAAGGATATGTGACATCAAATCTGAGACTGTCCTATAGACACTAATCACTGCTACTTCCTATGTCCTTCCTTGGGATCTACTTCCTCACCCAAGGTTCTTGCTATCTTATTCTGAGAGCTCAAGACCCAGTGGAAATCAGATTAAAGGCTGGTGTGAGCCAATTAAATTCTCTTTTTTTAAGATTCTGAGCATCAATATATAACAATATATAATATTCCAGTTCATCATTTATAACCTAGTACCCAAGTACCATAAGTAATTACTTGATTACCTATCAAGTAATCATTACAATGACCTCACATTGGCCGGGTGCAGTGGCTCCCCCCTGTAATCCCAGCACTTGGGAGGCTGAGGCTTGAATGAGCTCATAGGTTCAAGACCAGCCTGAGCCAGAGCGTGACCTCATCTCTAAAAATAGCCAGGTGTTGTGGCAGGTGCCTGTAGTCCCAGCTACTTGGGAGGCTGAGGCAAGAGGATCACTTGAACCCAAGAGCTTGAGGTTGCTGTAAGCTAAGATGCCACAGCACTCTACCGAGAGTGACCAAGTGAAACTCTGCAATGAAAAATAAATAATAAATAAAATAAAATAAAATAACCTCACATTTTCCACCAATCTTCCTATCAGGAGGTGCAATGTGTTTCTCCCAGCCTTGAATCTGGGATGGTTCTGTGGCTTCTCCCAACAGAATGTGGGAGAAGTTAAAACTGTGTCATGGGCCTTAAGATATCTGTAGCTTCTGTATGCTTGGAATGTTCCCTCTTGAATCCCTGCCACCATGCTGTTAAGCACCTGAGGCATGGAGATAGGTGACCTGGAGAAGAACCTTGACTCTTGGGTCAACAAGGTGAACTCCTAGCTCACTGTCAACACCAACTGTCAGCCATGTGAGGGGCCCTTTAGGACATTTCTGGCCAAATATAAGTGGTAAAGTACAACAGGAGATGGTGAAAATGAGAGTGTTTCAGATTATCTTGCTGTGTATTAAATCACATCAAAATAGTAGCTGAGTGCTCACTTTGGCAGCACATATACTAAAACTAGACCGATACAGAGAAGATTAGCACAGTCCCTGAGCAAGGATGACACATAAATTCATAAAGTTCCATATTTTATGAAAAAAAATTTAGCAGCTGAAAACTACAATTATAATCTGGGCAAAAGAATTCTAAATAATATTTGTAGATACACCACCTGCCAGGATGTGAAGCATTAACTCTGTGCTCCTGAAGTGTCTTCACACAGCACTTCAGCCAGGCGATCAAGGTCAACATCGGCAGTGATAAATCCTGTTCACAGTATGTACCCTCGATATGTGATGATGGCATTTTTATCACTTTGGTCCTCTTCTCCAAAATCTTTTACCCCAGGTTCATCATGAAAAACAAATCAGACAAATTCCCGCAGAGGAGTGGTCTACATATCTCACTGATATTCCTTAAGACTATTAGGGAAAAGAAAAATCGGAGAAACTTTCATAGCCAAGAGGTACCTAAGGAGGTATGACACCTAAATATAATGTGGTATCCTAGACAGGGTCCTGGAACATTAGATAAAAACTAAAGAAATCTCTAGCCAGGCTCAGTGGCATGCACTGTAGTCCCAGATATTTGGGAGGTTGAGGCAGGAGAATCACTTGAGCCCAGGAGTCCAAGTCCAACCTGGGCTATACAATGAAACCCTATCTGTTAAAAAAAATAAGGAAATGTCAATAAAATATGGATTTCATTAATAATAATGTTCCAATATTGGTTTATTAGTTGTGACAAATTTTACTGTGAATTTGTACCTGTTCTAAAAAATAAAGTTTATACACATACATGTTGCTCCTCTGCTTATAATACCCTTTCATTCCTACCCACCCACCAAGGAACCAAGAAAAACCAAAAAAACTTTATTATTCCCACAAAACCCAGTTGAAATGTTAGTGTTACCATCTCCATTGTGGAGCTTCCTTGAAGAAAGAATTCACTGCTTTGCTCTAGGCACACAAGTACCAGAGCCTGTAGAGTAAGGTCACCTCACTCAATTAGAGCTAATGTTCCCAAAGTGTAGACACCATGTCTTACATAATAACTTGGCATGCCTGTACCCATGACACTGGCAAAGAGTAAGGGCTCAATAAGTGTTTATCGAGTTAAATAATTAATTGAATGACTATAAAAGTATATCATTTTGATAATATCTGAATAAAAATAAAAAAGAGATGATACATATAAACAGTGAAGGCCAAGATATGTCAGTAAACCTACAATAGAGCTGAAACCTCCCTAGTATCATACAGTTTACTACATATAATTACAGCTAAAACAGGCACTAAGAAAAATAATCATCATATTCAACAAGTCGAAGCCACACATGACAGACAAAATAGTATCTGTTTTCAGATCAATGTGACAACTCAGGCATATAAATGTCAAATAAATTAGGTCATGTGAGTCTCTCTCTATGGGAATTAGGCCAATGAAATACATATCCATGTCTTTGGATTTCCTGATATATCATCAAAAACTTTTAACTTACAGAATACTATTTTCATACTTAACTCCTGAAAGTATAAAATAATAAGACAGACCCATGGGTAACTATGTTGTAACTTCTACTCAATTTTATCTCTCATGTACATAGCAGGGAAATTAAGCCCTAAAGCCATCGTGGGGAAAATTACAAGGAATAATCACTGTGCTTCCAAACAATATGTTCAGGGGCTTCTGGAGTTTTACATTAGCAATAACTCGGTCAACTTGTCAACCCTCAAAGTAGTTACAGCAGAAGCTTTCACCAAAATAGAAGAACTCTCTTTGAGAAAGTTTTTAGGTCATAAAAAACTATATTCTAGTGACCATTCAGGGGGAAAAAACTGATTCTAAACTAATGTGAAATTTTAAAATTCTTTCTTCCTGTCTCCACTTCAAATGCTTGGAGCTCCAAGAATTAAAACAAACAAAGAATAAATCATGGCTCAGCACCCGTAGCTCAGTAGTTAGGGCACCAGCCACATACACCAGGGCTGGCAGGTTCAAACCTGGCCCAGGCCTGCTAAATAACAATGACATTACAACAACAGCAACAACAACAAAAATAGCCAGGGGTTGTGGCAGGAGCCTACAGTCGCAGCTACTTGGGAGGCTGAGGCAAGAGAATCCCTTAAGCCCAAGAGTTTGCGGTTGCTGTGAGCTGTAAGACATGACACTCTACCAAGGGTGACATAATGAAACTGTCTCAAAAAAAAGAATCAATCACAGTTCAATGGGGCAATTCTTCATGTCAGCCGTCAGCATAGCTTCTGGCAAATAGTAGGTACTCAATAAATATGTGTTGAATTAATGAGAGGAAGGAGAAGAGGGAGAAAGGAAGGGAGGGAAGGAGGAAAGGAGGTGAAAAGTAAGCAAGGAAAAATGAAAAGAATGCTTGTACTTAATTTAATGCTTGTGCTTATTTGCAATTTATTCACAGCAGTCTTTTAGAAGTCATTGCCTATTTTACGTCTTTGGGGCAGAAAAAAAAATCTTCCTAAAATCAAGAGCTAAAAAACTGTATTTCCCCACTCTTGAAAAATATACAACCTCAAGTCCATCTCCAAATGTCAATAAACCTCTCTCCAAGAAAAAGCTATGGAAGAGCCCACACAGTTTCAGAGAGTATCTCTTTAAAAGGAACATCAATACTCACATTCTCTAAGAATTCCTTTACCAGGGGGCACCTGTGGCTCAGTGAGTAGGCCACTGGCTCCATATACTGAGGGTAGCGGGTTCGAACCTGGCCCCGGCCAAACTGCAACAACAACAACAACAACAAAATAGCTGGGCATTGTGGCAGGCGCCTGTAGTCCCAGCTACTTGGGAGGCTGAGGTAAGAGAATTGCCTAAGCCCAAGAGCTAGAGGCTGTGCACTGTTGACACCACAGCACTCTACCGAGGGCGACAAAACGAGACTCTGTCTCTTAAAAAAAAAAAAAAAAAAAAGAATTCCTTTACCAATCCTTCCCATCCTTAAAACAACTTTGATTTCTACTAGCACAATACTTCTCTGGGTATTTTTAAAGTCATATTGATTCTTTTATTATGTTATTTTATTTTATTTTTTGGCCGAGGCTGGGTTTGAACCCGCTACTTCTGGCATACGGGGCTGGTGCCCTACCCTTTTGAGCCATAGCTGCCGCCCAATAATTTATTTTATTATTTATTTTGTAGAGACAGAGCCTCACTTTATTGCCCTTGGTAGAGTGCCGTGGCATCACACAGCTCACAGCAACCTCCAACTCCTGGGCTTAGGCGATTCTCTTGCCTCAGCCTCCCAAGTAGCTGGGACTACATGCACCCACTACAATGCCCAGCTTTTTTTTGTTGCAGTTTGGCTAGGGCTGGGTTTGAACCCGCCACCCTTGGCATATGGGGCCAGTGCCCTACCCACTGAGCCACAGGCACTACCCTCTTTTATTAATTTATTAAGTATACTGAATGCTTCTTCTACAATTTCAATTCCAAGCTTTTCTCCTTAATAGGAACCTAAACTTGCCATTTCACGTCTTCAATCATGTACTCTACCCTCTCCCAATTATAAGCTCCATTTCAGAGGCAATACAAAGAAAAGCTACATCCACTTTCTTTCTTCCCTCTCTTAATATCCCCTCATCACCAAACAGGAGTCAGATGAGCAGGCACCAGGCCTGGCTCAGGCACTATGTGCTCACTGTGTGGTGTGCATGGGGATGGGCCCTGCTATGCCCAGCTTCTGTCACACCCTTTTCATACCCACACTCTGCCTATCTCCCTTCTTTTCTCCTCTATTCTCAAACATGCGTAAGCCTCCATTTTCAAAAACCTTCCACTTGAACTAATTCCTCCTCCTCGCTGCTCTTCTTCCCTCCACTGATTTCCAAATTTCCTAAAACTGAGAGGTAAACTATAGCTACTCTTTTTTAGCATTTTTCTTTTACCCATAAAGTTCAGTTTCTGTCCTCTCCTATTCCAATGAAATGACATACTTTTGAATAATTTTTTTTAAGAGCATGGTCTTTCTCTGTCACCCAGGCAGGAGTGCAGTGGCACCATCATTGCTCACAGAAGCCTCAAACTCCTCAGCTCAATGGATCCTCATGCCTCAACCTCCTGAGTAGCTGGAACTACAGACATGCGCCACCATGTCCAGCTATTTTAAAACACTTTTTTGTATAGACAGACTCTTGTTATGTGGCCCAGGATGGTCTCAAACTCTTGGGCTCAAGCAATCCTTCTGCCTCAATCTCTCAAAGTGCTGGGATTGCAGCTGTGAGCTACGGCACCTGGCCAATACATTTTTTCTTTTTTTGAGACATAGTCTCACTATGTCATCCTTGGTAGAGTGTCATGGAGTTACAGTTCACAGCAACCTCAAACTCTTGGGCTTAAAACAATTCTCTTGGCTCAGCCTCCCAAGTAGCTGGGACTACAGGTGCCTGCCACAATGCCCGGCTATTTTTTTATTGTTGCAGTTGTCACTGTTGTTTAGATGGCCAAGGCTAGATTTGAACCCGCCAGCCTCGGTGTATGCGGCCGGCACCATAACCACTGTACTACGGGTGCTAAGCCCATATATTTTTTTGTTTTGTTTGAGATGGAGTCTCCCTCTCTTTTCCTGGGTAGAGTGCCATGGTGCCATAGCTCATAACAACCTCCATCTCTTGGGCTCAAGTAATCCTCTTACCTCAGCCTCCAAGTAACTGGATTACAGGTGCCCACCACAACGCCTGGCTATTTTTTATAGATGGGGTCTCACTCTTGCTCAGGCTGGTCTTGAACTTCTGAGCTCAGGCAATCCACCAGCCTTGAACTCACAGAATGCTAGGATTACAGGCATGAGCCACTGTGCCTGGCCTTGGCCAATACATTTTTAAACAACTTTATTATGGAAGATTTCAAACACACACAAAGTAAATATAAATGAATCCCTAACCATTACCAAGCTTCAACATTGGTCAATGTTCTGCCATTCCTGTCTGATCTATGCGTCTACTCAAATGATTTTTTTTATAGTTGTATCAGATATAACATACCTGACACTAATTGTCATTTTTATTATAATTATAAATTGTAGCACCCCATCAGACACCTTTAACTTCCCAGAAAGTTTTATC